GGAGTGTAGACGGTGGGCTTTCGCTGGATGTCCTAGGCATGCATCTTCATGTGGTGGGCCGTCGCCTTCTTGTTGGGCCGAGACGAGCACTACACCGCCGCCGCCGTTCCACGGGGGTGACTTCCTCGCGCCGACAATCGACGCCAGAGCAGATGAGATCCGTACTACCACGATTTGAGCTCCGAAGAAAGCAGTCGGAGAAGAGAGAAGAATGAAGGTAGAAAATGAAACTGAAAATGAAAAATGAAAAACGGATTTAATCCGTTTTCAGATTTTCAGTACACGACAAAAACGTTTTTGTTTTTATTTTTTAAAAACTTTTGCACCAAACGCATTTTATATAAGCGTTTTCATTTTTTAATCTCGAAAAACGTGAAAAATGGAAATGGAAATACAAACAAACAGGACCTTTGTTTCTATTGTATTCCATCTCATCATACCGCATTTTGTTCTAAAATATTAAAAAATTATCGCCAATCCTTTGTTCTACAAGCTCACGTCACTTACAACCATCCAATTAAGAAGCCTTCGAACCACTGATAGTACTAGCAAGCGCACCAAAAATGCTGTCATCGATTTGTCAAAGAGGCCACAATGACCGTGAGCAAATACGAGCTCGCATTTAAAGAGGTCACAATGACTCTGAGCAAATATGAGCTCGCATTTTCATCTTCTCCGGGAATGAGCTGATACCTGGTTTTCTCTGGATATGGAAATACAGAAGGAAGGATAAAGGCCTGCATATAAGCATTAAAGTGCTGTATCTGCAGGGGAAGTAATGAGCACATGGGATGCTGCAATCGTGATAAACGTGATAATGTTGAGAGGAATGAAGATAAAATTAGTGGTGTCGCAATCAGAACGTGCAGTGCATGGCCCGCACCTTTGACCTGTTTGTGGGAGCAATCAATCAATCAATCAATAGCAATGAAGCTTTACGCTCAAACATGCCCCTATGGACAATGGTTATGTGCACACAATACATAGCCAAATTTGGTCATTTCCTGTATGTAATCAGATCGTAATTATTGACTATCCACCTCCCTAGATTTGTTTCTTCTAGAATTATTGATTTTTTGAACTCTCATTCTTCTCTGTCTGTTTTCTTTTGATAGAAATTCTCGCTGTTTTTGTAGGTCTTCTTCTTCATAGGAAGGAAAAAAAAAAAGGCATGTCTTACTATTTCTGCTATTCTAAAGTCTAAAGGTTTGAATTTCGTAGAGCTTGTTTTTTCACGACACAAACTTTTTTACTACAATGTTTTTTCTTATAAAAGTTTAAATTTAACTTTTTTATTATTGTGTTTTCTCTCCCATAAAATTCATTTTACAACTCAAGTTCTCAAACTCGAGTTGAACTGAAAATGACATGTTCTTAGTATCTTATATGCACGTGACCGTAATAATTATTACTTAACTCCACAAAGACTTAAAAGTCCCTATCTCTTAAACTCGGATTAAAGAATACTCGACTCCCTTTGCATGTATCATTAGGCTAAACATATTGTGCAAGTCGTTTTCTTTTTTTATATCATATTATTAATGCCATTCTCGAAGCTTTTAATTTCTTAGCTATCTTATCTGAGACTGACCTTTACAGCGGTTACCTAGCCGTAGCGAGACTAAAATGCCACCTCTTGAACTCAAACTAAAGAGTACTCGACTTCTTTCGACTATACTTTTTGTACATTTGTTGTCAAATCCTAATCATGAAATTTCGTGAATTATTGTTCTCTATGTGACAACCTTTTAAACACGGCTTAGCAACACTCGTCCAACTGTCTTTCGTGGTACCTTTTCATTGGCCCCAAACGTTGTTTGCCTCCCCAAAGTCTTCTTTAGTGGAGTCCATGGAGGTACGTTATTGGCAAGGCATTTTCAGGTGGCCCTTGAGACAACTATCTAAAACTGATTGATTTTCAAAGTCTAAATATGCACAATGCCAGCGTTAGTCAGGACTCAGAACCAAAAAAAAAAAAAGGTTGTGAGTGAGTACGCATTGCCATCAATAGCCAAAGAAAGACAAAGTGGAGTTCAGTTCATTCATCTGAAAACAATAACTTGGGGGGTGGCCTCACAGCCAACTTGCTCAATGTGCACGTCGTGGATGACTGTTCCAAAGAACTTATCCCTCCCATTCAGCGTAGAATTCTAAAAAAAATAATAAGTTTTTTATAATAGGATATCTCTATTGACAATGCGTGTTTTTTAACGTTAAATTTGATAAAAAAAAAATCACATTATTATTAATATATACAAAATTGATAGAATCATTAGCGTAAAAAAAGAATTCTTGAAAGGAGTATAGTGATTTGTTAAACGCAAATGTTCTTCTCGATTCTTTTTCGGTCCCTTTTTCCACAAATGGTCCATTAAGCCACTATCTAGACTGTAAACTGAACATATTTGGCGTTGACATTTTCCGTATGATTCTCACTGTTTTTCTTTTCCTTTTTAATCCTTTCCTGAGACGTTAACGCATTAACTCAAGGAAAGAAGAAGGTAATGTTCACATTTACAACTTACATTTGAGGAAACAAAAAAAGGAAAGAAAAGAAAGAAGGAAAGAAAGAAAGAAAAGGCAGCCAAGCCAACCATGGCTTTTTAGCTTAGCTTTTACTTTTAAAAGATTCCTGGCTGTAGAAGAGGAGGAAGTGCATTGAACCCAAGTTTTTTAGAAAGTGAACAGCATTCCAAAAGTGGACAAACCGACTTCACTTTGGCATAATCTGTTAGGGGGCGTTTGGTAGAGAGATTCGTTTCCTGATTCGAATCATAATTCGTGGTTCGTTACAGTATTTTTTCTCACAAAAAATACACGTAAATCGAAAATAGTTCGAATCACATGATTTGAATCCTCCAACCAAATGAACCTTATTTTCATTTCTACACTTGTCTACTGTTTGTTTTCGGTTTAGCCCCATTTTTATTTTCTATAATTAGCTGAGATTGCCAGCAATCACCTATCCAGGAATCCAAATAATTGGGATAGAAAAAGGAAAAGAAAAAAAGCTTTTGAAAATTCCCTTTGTGGAACTCTTTCTCTTTTAACCGTGACTCAATCAAGAGTCCTAGGATGAGTTACAATGCACAATTCTACATAAAAACTAACCCACCTTTTTATTTTTATTTTTAGCAAAACAACCAACTTATTTGCATTATAATTCATCCCAAACAATTGGAAAGAGATTATTTGAGGACCATCAAAACCGAGATTGTTTTGTTTTACTTTGTTTCTTCACGCTGTCAAAAAAAAAAAAAAAATAGCATTCTTTCCACTCTCTTCCATGTTGCGTTGCAAATTTAGTTATTCAAGTTTAACATGCAACTCAAATGACTTAGCACTCATGATTTCTCTGCTGGTATTACCAACTGAACAGAGTAAATATTATTTGCCCAAAAATAAAAAACCTATAGGCTTTTGAAAAGGACACCTCAATTATGATTTTTGTAATGTATATAATAAAAAAGTTTGAGAAAGAGATGACCATCATGAGTATACTCTTTGGAGTTACCAAAAGGGATCTTCAAATGCTTACAGGAATGTCTGTTAAAAGGCCTACTCATCGACGAGAAGCGCATCACTCCATTTTCATTGAATGCACTAACAGTAAAGATACGTAGGACGTAATTCTAGACACTCTAAACCGAATATTAGACTGATAGAGGCAAACTTTCACATTTAAAATTCTTAAAAAGGTCACACAACCCTTAAATTTTTATCCACATTCTTATTACAGTAGTCCATTACCATTGAGTCACTCCATTAATTGTATGAGTATGTTTAGTTGGCTGATTTTAATTTTTAATTTAAATTGACATATAATTTTATGTGAGAACTTTTTACTGTAATAAAAAAATTAAATGTAACTATTTTAAAAAAAAATTTATTATAACAAAACTTAAATTTTAAATTTAAATTAATAAAATGAACCATACTTTAAATTTTTTAAACAACTCTCTTTCCTATTTGGG